AACTTAGAAATCATTTTATTTCAGGAGTAGATCACACAAGATGACATTTAAACTCCAAGATTAAATAGGAAATAGATAGTGAATCACTGAAGACTGTATCAGCAGCATTGAAGTGTGACGATATATAGGCTACAATGTCTAAGCATTCCTATGTCACTGCAAAGTTTCCCCTTAGAATTCTAATAGTCTACAAATATCTATCCATTTGCCCTTTCTTGGAGAAAAATAGCCATTTTTTTTCTGGTGTCCAGATCACAGTCAACTTAGCCCCTTCATATGGAAGAGAGTGTTATTTTATCCCTATTGGCTCTGTAGGATAAGTAGAGAATTGGAATTGTGAACCACAAAATTTGTTGTTTCACCCCATCAGCTGCTCTTAAGGAGAAAGATGAGACCTTCTGATGCTATAAAGATGTAAAACCTAAGAAACCATATGCAATGATAATTAACAATAACTTCTTGCCTAAAGTATTTCCACCAGTATCCTCAGCTTCAAACTTTGATGTCCTCCTCCTTCTGATTAAAGAGTACTACTTATAGAAGGAAAGGAAGTTGGATCTTTATGAGAGTAAAAAGAAAAGCTAAAAACTCTTTAGATACATTTGCAAATCATATATTGTGCAAAGGACTGGTATGGTGCATACACAAGAGCACACAAAAGTGATCAGAGGGATATAGACAACCCAATTTAAAATAATAATAATAATAATAACCAAAGATCTATAGATCTTCATCATAAGGCATATGAAAAGATGTTCAATGCACTTCAATGCTTCAATAATAAGAAAGCAAAAAATACAATTAAAAAATAAATGGGCAGAGGACATGAATAGACACTTCACTACAGAGATTAAGTCAAATGTGTATTAATTGTTGAATGGGAAACTGCCCTGCTTTGGAAGCTTTCACCCGATTTACAAAATTTTTTTTTTTTACAAATTGGTAAAACTGTAGCTAGGCAAACCAAAAGAAATAAGAGAAGACACAACTATTATAATATGAAGATAAATCTTCAGATGAATGAAAGATAAGGGAATACAAAGAACATCTCAATATCTATATTGTTAAAAAACAAAACAAAACATATGCACACATACACACAGAAAAGGTACAAAGAGTGAGATCACATCCTTGAAAAATTCAAACAACCAAAAAAAAAAAAATAAGGAGAATAAATAATATGGATATATTTGCACATCTTAAGCAAGTCAAATTTACTTGTGTTTATGGACTATGAAGAGGCTTTTGATTATCTGGATCATAACAAGCTATGGATAATATTGCAAAGAATGGATATTCCAGAACACTTGATTGTGCTTATGAGGAACCTGTACATAGACCAAACAATGTTCATTTGAACAGAACAAGGCCTAAAATCAGGAAAGTTGTACATTAGGACTGTATTATTTCACTATACATATTCAATATGTATGCAGAGCAAATACTCTAAGAAACTGAATTATATGAAGAACACGGAATCAGAATTGGAGGAAGACTCTTTGAAAACCTATGTTATACAGATCATACAACCTTGCTTGTTGACAGTGAATAGAACTAAAAATACTCACAGATCAAGCTAAAAGATCACAACTTTCAGTATGGATTGCACCTCACTGTAAAGAAAACAAAAATCCTTACAACTGGACCAATAAATAACAGCACACTAAATAGAGGAAAGTTTGAAGTTGTCAAAGCCTTCATTTTGCTTAGATCTATAGTAGTAGACACTGATAAGAGTTGTTGTTGTTATGGACCATGGATTCGTTCCAATTCATAGCAACCCTGTACAGAGTTTCTGAGGCTGTAACCCTTTACGGGAACAGAAAGCCTCATCTTTCTCCTGCAAAACAGCTGGTAGTTTTGAACTGTTGACCCTGATGTTCACAGCCCTATTCATAACCACTACGCTAAAATGAAACAACATATTGCACTAGGAAAATCTGCTGCACAAGACCTCTTTAAAGTTTTCAAAATCAAAGATATCAGTTTGAAGAAGAAGTTGTGCTGACTCAAGCCATGGTATTTTCAATAATCTAGTATACATGTTAAAGTTGGAAATAAGTAAACAAATTACAGAAGCATTGATATATTTGAGTTATAGTGTTGGAGAAAAATATTATAAGTACCACGGGCTGCCAGTGGAACAAATAGGTCTTTGTTGGAAAAAGCAACAGTCACAATGCTCCATGGAGATAAGGATGGTAAGACTTTGTCTCACCTAGTTCAGACATATTATCATGATATTATTTATTAGTCTAGTTATGAAAATCTTTACTTTCTTTACACTGAAGTGCAATTTTTACTGAATACTGTAGTCTTTGATGTTCATCAGTAAGTATTTTAACTCTTCTTCACTTCCATCAAACATGTTTGCATCATCTGCATTTAGCAGATTGTTAATGAATATTGCGCCAATCCAGCATCTCAGTTTATTTGGCCAGCATAAACAGGCAATAAATATGGGAAAAGAATAAAATCCTAGTTCATACCTTTCCTGATTTTAAGCTAGTGAGTATTTCCTTGTTCTATTATAACAACTACCTCTTGGTCTAAGTACAGATATTTCATGTACACATTGAAGTGTTCTGAAATACTCATTTTTTTTTTTTTTTGCATTGTTATCCAAAGCTTTCCATTTTCCACACAGTTGAACATCTTTGCATAGTCATCACTTAGAAGTAAATATCTTTCTGTTCATCTTTGCTTTCAGTCAAGATCCATCTGACGTTACCAATTTAATTGTTAATTCCAAGTCCACCTTTGGATCAGGCTTGAATTTTTGGCCTTTGTTGTTGGTGGTTATGTGCCATGGAGTTGTTTCCAACTAATAGCAAACCTGTACAGGATTTCCAAAGCTGTAAATCTTTATGGGAGCAGAAAGCCTCATCTTTCTCCTGCAGAACAGTTGGTAGTTTTGGCCTTTACCTGTAGATATATTGTTGTAGCTGTTTTTAAATTATTTTCAACTAAATTTTACAAGCATGTGATAGTAATGGCAGTGTTCAGTGATTTCTGCATTCTGTTGGGTCATCTTTTTATTTGAATGGTCACATACATGTTTCTCTTCCAATCAGTTGGCTAAGTAATTGTCTTCTGAACTTCTTGCAATAGATGATGAGCGATTTCAGAATTGTTTCCTATTAGAGGTCCTGAATAGGAAAAGCTATTTTCACAAATAAAGTAAGAAGCTATTACATAAAGATGGAGGAACTGTGGATGACAAGAAAAGCTGTCTTTACTCACTTGATATGGCACTCCTATGAATATGACAACAAATCATCTATCAGTTTTTCATACTGTTGAGACTTCAATGTTGCTGTGATTCTGGAATCTATATGACCAGTATTTTAAATACCACCATTGTCACTCAGGTGGCTAGGTTTCAGATGAGCTTCCAGACTAAGACAGTAGGAAAAAGGAGAGACTGCGTACTTACAAATATTTAGTCACTGAGAACTTGATAAATATCAATGGAACACTGTCAGCACCATAATATTGAATATAAAAACATAATAAAGAGCACCAGGATATTTTCAAATATAGTTCTGGAATATGAGTCACACAAGTTGTAAACCACTCAAAATATAATTGGAGAAGAGCTACTTCCTCAAAGTAGAGTTGACCGTGATGATGCAAATGGAGTAACACTTTCAGGATCTTCATTTTCTGATTGAGCACAACTCAGAATAAAGGGAAACATTTGAAAATATCCATTAGTAATCAGAACATGGAATGTGCAAAGTATGGATCTAGGAAAATTAGAAGTGGTTCAAAATGAAGTGGAAAACATAAATGTTGATATCCTAGGCATTAGTAAGATGAAATAGACAGGTGTTGCACATTCTGAATCAAGCAATCACATGATTTATAATGCCAGGAATGAAAAATTGAAGGGGAATGGCAATCCTATCATCATCAAAAAGAACATATTAAAAACTGTCTTGAAGTACAACTCTGCCTGTATCAGGATAATGTAATATATAATACAACATACCTACAAGAAGACCAGTTAATACCACTATTATTCAAATTTAATCATCAACCAACAAAGCAAGCAATGATAAAAATGAAGAAT